CTCCTCAAGGGCAGCCCCATGTAGAGCACATTGCAGTATTCCAGCCTAGAGGTCACAAGGGCCCAAATTTCTCTTTTTTTAAGAGAAATTTGAAAGACTTGTTCAAGTATGTTGAGGATAAGGTTTTAAAAAATCATCTTTTTCAAAGGAAGAAATGTTTTGAGAAAGTTGCATGGTAGATATCAGCGCTCTTCCAGTACCCAACAATCTATCTCTCTTGTGTTATCATTTTTCATATATAAATCCTTTCTTATCCAGCAAAGCAATAAGCCACACTGCCATGTTCAAAATGAAGATTTCGCAATTTTTAAGAGAAATTAATAAGTTACGCTTAAGGACTGTCAGTCTATCCATGACAGTTACTTTTTTAAAGTTATTTTTTAAAAATGGCAGCCACTGATTTGTACTTTTATATAACTCAAGAGAGATGTTGCATTTATATGTAATCAGCTATTCATAAACAGGTGTTTGAAGCAATTTTGAAATGCTATCATTTTAATATTTTGTCAATCATCAATTTAAGATTTTGAAAATAATTTGATCTCGAACTCAGCAGTTGCGGGGGGGAACCATCATCCTAATAGTTCATTTGAGATCTGCATATGTGGGACTGATTGGGGTAGATTGCAGTGGTGACATCGAAATGTAATTTTATCATGTTTTACCTATAACTTAAATTATTGTATTCTATTCCAATTTAATTTTAGACTGTATTTTATTCCAATTTCATCTTAAAATGTATTTTATTCTGATTCCATTTTAAATTGTTTTTTTTTAATCATTTTAAATGATTTCATTTTAAATTACTTTTATCAAATTTTAGTAATAATTTGCTTATGGAACTTTGCACTTTGTTATGGCCCAAAGGCTAATCAATAAAGACTCAACATCAGTGTCTAATTGCTAAATAAAAAGCTCCTGAAGTGGAACTGGGAAAAAAGTGGGTAGAAGATCTTAATTTATCTCCCCTTTCTCTGTTACACTGCCCTATGCCACCATATTTTTCTGTTTAACTGAAAGGGTGATCTGATAGTTTCATGGAAATATGGCCAACCCATCTACTTATCTGCCATTTCATTTACCAGCCAGCATATCTTCAATAGTAAACTAAGAAAACAAAAAAGTCCACTTTTCTTTCTAATAAAATTGCAACCATCAAAAGAAAATAACCTTATTTTTTCTTTAAAATATTTCTTTTTTGCTTGTGGGAATGAAGTATAATTTTGTAATAAGATCAGAGGTGGTATTCAGCCAGTTCGGACCGATTCGGTTAAGTAGCAGAAATTTTGAGTAGTTCGGAGAACCGGCAAATTCCACCTCTGGTTGGCCCCGCCCTCCCATCCTGTCCTACATTCCCTTGGTCTTTTTTAGGTCAGCTGATTTGCGTGGCAGAGCAGATTGCTGCCCCCTCAGCTGAGCTAAAAAACAGCTCATGCCATCAGCGCTGATACTGAGGGTGGTCTTTGAGCGCTGCACGTGCGCGCAAAACACATGTTAGGCGGCACAGGCAAAGCGCTCTCTCATAGAACTGGTAGCAAAAGATTTGGAATCACTTTTAGCGAAAGTTAGTTCTGGTATCAGATCTTGGGCAAAGAAATAAGCAGATAGCAGAAAAAGGTGTTTTAAAAATGTATCACAATCTGATTTGCTGGCCTTGTCCAGCATGATTGCAACAGTTCTTTATGGAACCAGAATAAAGCAGGTTTTTTTTTATTCAGAGATATCAAAGCAACAGAAGATACAGACTCAAGAGCAAAATCAGCCCTTGGTGTACACAGCTACTTCACTGGCCTCACACTTTTAAAATGGTTAGTTGCTATTGAGTGAGTCAAATTTGGAGAAAGGTACTTTGTGACAGAAATCATAATACCAACTGAATCCTTATCATTAGAGGATAAACACCACTATTAATTGATGAAATGGTCTATTGTTGCATTGAGCTCTATATTTAATAAAGCTCTTCTTTTAAACCTTGTGTATTTTAATGATAGAGAGCCCCGTTTGATGTAGTAGCTAAAGGCATCAGGCTGGAAACAGAGTGGTAGTGACACCCAACTGGATGACTTTGAACCAGTTACTTCGTCATAGAAAGAATAGAATGGCAAATTACTTCCAAAAAGGTTGCTAAGGAAACTGCATGGATTTGTCCATGTCCAGAAGTCAAGACTAACTTGAAGGCAAAAGTTAAAAACACTTGAGTGATGCCCAGACAGTGACCCAGACTTTCAATGCAAGTTTCTTTAAATATATTGCTCTGATTCATAGGTGGTATGTAATAAGAACAGTAGTGTTAGCCAGGAAAAATGTGCTTTTTATGACTAGAGAAATACAGTCAGCCATAAAAAGGAAATCCTGCTGTTCCATATTTATTGTTTTCTCCCTTAGTGACTTCCATATCAAGTTTGCTTAGTTCTCAAATCAAACCTGGGTCTTTTTGAATCCAAACATAAGCTTTGAATCATAGAGAGCCGGTGTTTTTCTTTTTATCATATCTCATTCCCATGGACTATGGAATGAGCGTGTGAGACAATTTTCTCCATTGATTCAGAGATTGGACAATGAGAATATGTCTTCTTATTTTGTGAGCCATTGCATTATTTAATTAGAACAGTTGTGTAATGATAGGAACACATTCCTTTTGAACTTTATTGAGTAAATGCATAAAAAATTATCCCAGCACTTGTCCTCCTTCACTTCTGGACTAAATAGTCAGCCCTGACCAGAAGAAAGAAAAGGAGAAGGTGAATGGTACCAGTTTTCCTCTTGATATATTGCTAATCTCCTTGGAAAAGCCAGTTGACTATGTAGTCATATAGTAGAATTATGAAGTTGTGAGTTTGCTTCAAAAAACATTGGTTTTGAAAAGTGCCCTGTCATGTTCGATCCAGTGCAAGTCTTTTCTTCGTCATAATTTTGTGAGCTGTTTTCTGGATATTGTTGACAATAAATAAATCATTGATTTTACAAGCAATCATTTCATTCCTTCTCAGGTATCTCTCCATATTTGCTTGGGTGGAATTCAATGTTTTTTGTGCAGATATCATGGAAGAATTTTTACCATCAGTTTCAAACTAAACTGCTTTTCTTTCCATAAAAGTACGTCATCTCATCATCTCGGAGCTGAAACAGGCTGGAAATAGACAAATATGCTGATTCATTGCTTTATCATCAACCTAGGTTCTCTAGACGGTTGTGTTATAACAAGGAATACATGGTTATCCAGCATATTAAGTTTTGACCTATTTTTCTGCCTTTTTAAAATCTTCTAGGCTGCCCAGTAGATGGTCATCCAACTCCTAACATCACTTGGTTTTATGATGGTCATCCCTTCCATCTGCCCCATCGGGTGTTGGCATCTGGTCAGATTCTCCAGCTCCTGAATGTCAGCAATGATTATCAGGGAGAAATCAGCTGCAGGGCTCAGAATGAGGCAGGCTTGCTTATTCAGAAAACATCACTGGTCATCCAAGGTAAACATATTTCTAGAGCAGCCTTTACCCAACTGGTAATATTTCCATGTGTGAACTTCAGTTTCTCATGGTTTCTTCGAATTATGACAACTGAAACCAAATGGATCTTTTGAACTAACAAATGGAAAACACAGTTTGGAGAGGCAGTATATTCTGGTTTTCTGAATGTTTACACATCTTTGCCACTCAATGTTATCAGAGCTTCCTGCAAGTTATACAGAGGGAGTCTAAGAGAATGTTTAAAAGAAAGGCTGATGCTTGTTTCATTTATTGCAAATAGAAAGCCATCCAACTTGCTCTGGGCATGCTGTGGAAATGCAAATCTCATGCAAAAGTAAACAGTTTCTGGACAGTAGTATATGTTCTATTTTAGAATATTACATATTGTATCAGTATTAACTGCTGGTGATTTTTTTCCTGGACTCTTTCAGCATAGAAATAAACCCAACTGAGAAAACCTATGTAGGTTTTATGTCAGATTGCTTACACTGAGAAGAAGAAGAAAAATACAGCCATTTAATAGTAGTAGAATGTAGTAGACTAGTCTAGCAGGGGCATTATAATAAGGTTGTTAAAGTCTTGTACTAAAAATGGAGAGACTGAGGTTCTAGTCCACCTTCTACATAGAAGCTTAACTGGATAACTTTGAACATTAATCTTTGTTTCAGTCCAACCTGCCTTGCAAAGTTATTGGGTGGCATTCTTTATCAACCTTTGGGAGTGTTCTTTAATTTTCTTAATGATACAGCATGCTTATACAACTAACAAAATTTTCTTTATTTATTTAACTTATATGCCACCCATCTCAGCTAGAGATGACTCTAGGGGGTGCACATTCACAAAAACAATACGTTAAACAGTAAAACAATAAATATCAATCTTAAAATTGACTTAGAATTGACAAGATGGGGAGGAGGCAGGCTCTTATCTTAGTCCATAAATCACCTCCAGAATGACACATCCCTATTGGGGCTCCAGGCCAATTGACAAAGCCAAGTTTCCAGACCCTTTTGGGAGGCTAAATGTTATTTATTTCTTGCTCTTTCTACAATTAGTTGGAACTCCTGGCACTTCCCTTTCCATGTAGGACTCTAATCTGTGTTGGAGAATTCTAAAGATTATTTTATTTATATATGAAATTATACTGTACGATAATTTGCACAGCCTTTTAAATCTCCTTTCTTTGCTGTTGATATGTAGATTTACCTCTTTCAGTCTATTAGCCACTTGTTGATCTCTACATTTGCTAGCATATGAGTTAAAGCTTTATTACACATAGAGATGTATACCCAGCAACATGTATGGCTCCTTGAGCTTCTGCACATTCTTGTCATTCTTTCTACAGACTAGCCTAGACTTTTTAATTGAATTGAATTGTTGCGATTTCAGATTACTTGTGGTCAGTGGATAAGATGTCACCTTGTTCAGCCTCTTGTGGCAATAAGGGTCTACAATATCATCAGCTGAAATGCTTACTGGATGGAGCCCAGGTCAATGAGTCGCATTGTGTGGAAAAACCCAAGCCAAATCTGCAACCTGTGGCATGCAATAGAAGAGACTGCCCTTCAAGGTTTGGCCTTCCCTTTGACATGTACAATGTGTGTGAAAACTTTTGCAATGAAGCAACGATTACTAACCTTTGTGGAATCATTACTTGCTTAGGGATTGTAACAAAAGTTGCTTTATCAGTTTAAACTGCCTGTCAGCCACGGATCAAGAGTCTCTTTGCAGGGCAGAGCAATATATATCTGTCATCTTTTATGAGGGAATGTCTACCGACAAGTTAAACTTGGCAGAGGTGAGGTACTAAGCATCGGGCAGGTACATAAAGTTGAGTCCATCAGAAAGAAATGTTTCAGCCCAATCTTCCATGATGTATACATGATTAGGATACAAAGCCAATAATAAGGGTGGGGAAAGCTTTCTCCTTTTTTGAATTTCCTTTATAAATGATGGAAATATGATGCTTAACCTGACGAGCATTTTTATTAAATGGTATAGCACAATCTCCACTATCGAATCACTACCATTATATTCCAACCACATTTATAGCGTATCTTGACCAAATGAGAATTGCAATGCCTGAAAAATTATTTGCAGATAAAATAAAGAGAAAAATTCCTTGACAATTTTTTTATCTGGTGTGTTTCCTTATTACACACACACACACACACACACACATATACAGGTAGTCCTCAACTTAAAATCATTCATACAGTGACCATTCAACATTACAGCGCCACTGAAAAATAATGTCTTATGACCATTTTTTACACAATGGTTGCAGCATCCCCATGGTCCCCTGAACAGAATTCGATCCCTTGGCAACTGGACATGACGGTTACAGAGTTCCAGGCTTATGTGATTCATCTTTTGTGACCTTCAGACAAGCGGTCAATAGGGAAGCCAGATTCATTTAACAAACGTGTTACTAATTTAACAACTACAGTGATTCACTTAACAACTGTGGCAAAAAAGAGTGTAAAATGGGGCAAAACTCACTTAAGAACTGTCTTGCTTAACAAGGCCATTTTTAGTCTCAGTTATGGTCATAAGTCAGGGACTATCTGCATTGCAGTGCATACTGTATAATGCACAAATATTCTGTTAAAGATAACCAGTTTGTTATACTGGTAGCAATTAAAATACAAAGTTAGAAACCAAGAGACTATGAGTTCTAGTTCTATCTTAGGCTCAAAGACAGCTGCAGAGGTGGATTCCTACTGGTTCAGACCTATTCAGCTGAGTAGGTAGTAGCTCAGCCTGCCACGCTCCCAAACCGGTTCTTTCGGCAGCACCTATGGTGGCGCCATCTTGTTTTTTGCTTCTGTGCATGCACAGTAGCATTTTTTTTTAGTACTGCATATGTGCACACGCAGCACAGCCCTGAGCAAACCCGCATTAGCGGCAGCCTGAAACACCACCACCCCCCTAGACAGCTGGGTAACCTTGAGCCAATCATTCTCTCTCAGGCCTACGAAGCTGGCAATGGCCAGTCATTTCTAAAATCTTGCTAGGAAAACTGTAGGGATTTGCACAGCAAGCCACCAAGAATCCAGAGTGACTTGAAGGCATATATAAAACATACGTGCAGAAACATGCGGACAAGTATGTCTGCACGCACACACTATTTATTATTCAGTTATCCCAAATGTACCAATCGTTTCTCATTTGTGTGAGCAGTGTGAGTTTGCATCTATTTCTGCCATTTGTTACCCTATTTGTTATTCATTGCAGGGAAATTTTTTTAGTGTGTATATATATATATATATATATATATATATATATATATATATATATATATATATTTATTTCATCAAGCATATATTAGATAATATATATAAATATAAACATGATTTTGGCTACATGAACTGTAGTGTTGTTGTCTCAGAAGAAACAAAACTGAAAGTTTTGTAATGCACCTACAGTTCTTTCCAAGTAATTTAACTAAAAATTCTTCTCCCTTACATCTCCCCATTAGATGGATGGTGACTTCGTGGTCTCAGTGTACCCAGAGCTGTGGTGGGGGTATCCAGTCCCGGAGGGTGACTTGTCAAAAACTGACCGCTACTGGCATTTCTATACCTGTGTCCAGCGATATTTGTGCTCAACTGACCAAGCGTCCAGTAGATACTCAGAGTTGCAACAGACAGCTATGTGTGGAGTGGACAACTTCAGCCTGGGGACAGGTAAGTCAAATTTGGTCCACACTAATCATTCTGATTCTGAGAAGGAAAAGATATCGATGTAATTAAAGGTCTAGTTGCATTGAATAGGAAAGAAATATTATTGGTCCCAAAGGTGCTTTTTCAAGAGTCAACCGGACTTTCTGGACTTTGGATGAGGTGAAATGTCTTCAGAGAAAAACCAGAAAGTCCTGTTGCCTCTTGAAAAAGCACTTTTGAGACAACTATGACCTGGATGATCGAGAATCTCCATAGACAAATATTATTGGTCTTACAGAGAACATGAACGAGGATTGAACTCTAAAACAAATATGGAGGAAGAGTGAATAGGTCAAAAGAAAGAACAGGACTGGTGTAGTTATGAGTGGGTGAAATTGAGGCTACCTTCAAAGTGAAAAAATAAGGTTGGATCATAGACAAGTTGAAGAATAATTGCAAAGTATGCACTGGCTTCAAGCAGAACTAAATGCCTCATTTTTCAATTAGCAGTCAATCTCTGCCCTAAAACCTACATACCCATACATATAAACATAAAAGAGCTTCTGGAACAGGCATGCCACCTGTATTATTAAGGCTATTTCCTGGGGATTATTTTTCCCTCATTTGGGAACTTTAGGTAAAGGTTTTTTTTTAAATAATACATGTGGTCTTCCAGGTCCCTTGGGAAAATGACTCTTAGTTTATATCATGCCATGATGTCATATCCAGGCTCATTATCAAAAGCTGTATGAATTCATCAACTTCAGTTGACCTTTTGGCTTTCTAATGTAATATTTCTCCAGCCAGGAAAAGGAGGGGAGTATTTTAAGCACTGTGGAAACATACACAACTCCATTTTGAGTCAGGTCCACAAATTGATTATTGCAATTACAATTAAGAACAGATTATGGTCTATATATAAATGGAATTTTGTTGTTGTATCACAGAGTTCATCCCAAAGGATATCAGGTTCCTATTGGCCAAGCTCAATTATTAACCTTTTCCAAAACGCAGAGGAAAGAAGCATATTCTTTTGACCCTTGGAAAATAAGCCTTTTTATTATTCCTGTCTCCTATAATCTAGTTTTGATATGTCTCTTGTAATGACCGCAGAGAGGGGATTTCATGCAATTACTTATCAAAGAAAAAGAACCTTTGCTCATGTTTATAATTGAACTTTTGACATCATGGTTTTGAAATCTAATAATTTTTTTACTTGCACTCTGAAGTGAGAGAATCAAATCTTTTTTGTAATAGGTGCAGACCCTTGTTGGCAATATCACTGGTTACATTAACATTAATAAATCTAACCATGGTTTTCCTCCAGGAAAATCAAAGACAATAACAGCGTAGCTGTTTTTTTTTTCATTCTGTCCATCCAATTTGTTGGCCTTGCTTTCTTCTTCATGTTTTAAAAAATTTGTAATTAGATATACCTTAAAGTTACCAAGGCAGGGCATTGTGTACTTGGGGTTCAAGCACAATCCAGGAGTGGGTTGCTCCCACATGCGCAGTTGCCTATAAATTGAAAAATGAAAAAATGACCAAAAAAATAAGCCGGCAACGGCAGAGGCAACCAGGGAACTGGTTCGGGGGCATGGCCAGCCTGCCATCTCTACCGGTTCGGCGACCCAGTCCCAATTTCCACTATCAGTTCGCCCAAACCATTGCGAACTGGTAGTAACCCATTCTGGCACAATCACAGGAAAAATTAAAATTGTGCTAAGTAGACACTCTCAATTGACATGCAACACAAGACTTTCATATGAACTGGGCTTGAGATAAGTATTAGGAGTTAAGCTTTCTGGTCTCTGTATTTGGGACTGTTGTAACTCTTGACTCTCCTGAACTCCGAATAGGTAGCTGTGACTGGTTGAAGATGCCTCTCTGTAAAATTAGCTCAAAGTACTTTGTACCCTGAGGCAAATGGCAGGAGATTAAAAGCCATCCATAGATTCTATGAGCAGAAAACAACCAAACTGTTGATGAATCTTACTGGATTATTGCAATGTGCTTTATACAACCTGTTTTTTTCCCCCCCGATTGTAAATATGTTTTTATTTTCCATTTCATTTTCGTACAGTCACATATATACTGTGCATAACCGGGGCCATATAACATTAAACAATAAACACAGCCATTCCTCTTGTCGACAATACCCCCAAAAATAGAAACCCAATGTACCTCTTCGACCCTCCATACACCCTTTCTTTCGCCCCCCTCCAACTTTCCTTCTTCCCTCCATCATTCCCTTCTACCCTACTTCCCCTCCCCCTCTACCACTCCTCTCTCCCGATACACTCCCTCCCTTCCTTCTCCCCCTCCCTCCAGCCCTCTCTCCCACCCTCGCTACCCCTCTTTCTTCTATCCCTTATACAACCTGTTCTTGAAGACCCCTTGGAAGCCTAGCCTCTTTCACAAATTGCCATCATGTTTAAACATCTCAGACCTTGGTGGAGGGACCAAGGCGCTGGAAGATGATAATTCTAAACGTTCTTCTACTATCTGTTTTATGACATGTTATTAAAGTAGAGCAAAGCAGAGAAGAACAGAACAGAATAGAATTCTTTATTGGCCAAGTGTGATTGGACACACAAGGAATTTGTCTCCGGTGCATAAGCTCTCAGTGTACATACAAGCAACAAGTGATAAATCATGATCATAGTCATCATAAAAATATATTCATCATATATCATGAGATACAACACTTATCATAGGACACTAAATAAGCAGTCAGCATAAATCATACTAGGATACTAAATCAAATAATGTACATCGCAAGATACAAGCAACAAAGTTATAGGCATAAGAAGATGAGATAGGTAATAGGAAAATGAGAAGAATAATGGTACTATAGCCGTGCGATAGTTTGACAGTATTGTGCGGATTAGTTGTTTAGCAGAGTGATGGGGGGGGGAATTGTCCCATTGTTCTGGCGTGCAATGCCCTATAGCATTATCTTCAGAAAAGCACTTGAAACAGTTTATATCCAGGTTGTGAGGGTTCTGTAGATATTTTCACAGCCCTCTTTCTGGCTCATGCAGTATACAGGTCCTCAGTGGAAAGCAGGCTAGTTGTAATTGTTTTTTCTGCAGTCCTAACTATCCGTTGAAGTCTGTGTCTGTCTTGTTTGGTTGCCGGGCCAAACCAGACAGTTATAGAGGTGCAGATGGCAGACTCAATAATTCCTTTGTAGAACTGAATCAGCAGTTCCTTGTCTTTATCTGCAAATCTCATCACTCTATATGCTACAGCCCAAATGCTGGTCACATTGCTTTGGCTAGTACCCAAATGCCAACATATTATCTGACATACCCAGTAATTAATCTTTTTAGAGACCTGGAGAGAATCCCAGTAATCAAATTCAACAATTTAAAGACAGACTCTAACCAGGATGGATGGAGTTCTTGGAGAAGAACAAGATAATTGCAAATGAATTATACCCAAATCATATTCTCTCCCCATGGTTTTGGGTTTGGTTTGGTGAGGTTTTGAGGTTTTATATTCAAAACTAAACTTACTGTATCCTTTCCTGTTCAAGGCATATTCCTTAGATATCGCTGGATAAATTTTTACTAAGCAAAGTTTATTGATCCATTCCTAGTAATTCTCCAGAAACATTCCTCGGGGACTTTGAGTGGGACTTTTAAGGATTAAGGAAAGCTCGAAGCACTCATAAAATGTTACAGTGTAAAGAGGTGAAGGGGGATAAAATCTAAATCACAAATGAAGGTTCCACTATTGTGTAAAAAAAGATTGTGTACATTTATTAGCCACATTAGTTAAATACCTAGCACTTAACATTAATCATATCTTCCTTTTCAATTATTCATAGCATGCCTTTAATACACACACACACACACAAACATATATATATATATATATATATATATATATGTATATGTATATGTATATGTATATGTATATGTATATGTATAT